TGATCCACCACCATCTCACTTATCTTACAAATCATCTTGTTTATCATAATCAAAAAGGAAAAATTGTTGACATATGGTCGATTTAATCCTCAATGTTTTGATTATAATAAATGAGATTATTTTTATTTCTAACAAATTCTTTTTAGTGATGATAGTTCAATGTTCAAATGAATCATGTATTATCAGACTTCAAATGAAGATCAAAGTGGAAGCCATGTATTCAAGCCAAATCATTCGAGACAAAAAGTTTAAGAGATAAATGCCAAGAAAGATCGAGATCAAGAGCGTGAGAAATGATATCAAAGAAAGATCAAGACGAGGAAAATTTTGGAGTAAAGACTTGATTTCTTAGGCAAAATATAAAGGTACTAATGCTTTGATATTTGACAAAGAATAGTTAAGCTCAAAATCTTGCTATAATTAAAAACAATTTTTGTGCACTAATTCGAATGCAACCTTTTTGATCAATCATGAAAATGACTTTTAAAAATGATATATGAACTTTAAAGACATTTTCTTATGAAAATTAAATTAAAAATATTCTCCAAAAGTCCATATACTTCAAAACTTTCAAATCGGAACAAACGAGACCAAAACGTGAAAATACAGCACTGTTGGGGCGGTCAACGGCCCAGAGAGGCGGTCGACCGGACTCCCTCCAACGGTCCAGAATTTGACCATTCTGACTTCTGATTTTTACTGTACAAACGGCTACATTGGTCTTCCGGACAAGAGGTGGTTGACCAGATGAGTCATCCATAAATTCAGATTTTTTAATGTTTTGGACTCTATAAATACCCCAACCTCTTGCTTTTATCATTTTAACTTCCAAGAGCATTAAATTGAGATAATAATTGAGATAATTTCAAGCTTTAACTCTCTACTCTTTATTTATCTCTATCAATTCATTCACTTTTGAAAAACTTTTGATTGAGTTTACTTTAGAAAATCATTTTATTTATCAAAGTTTTTCAAACTTAACACTTGAACTTTACTTATTGCCATTCATTAAAGTATTAGTCTACTTCTTTCCATCGTACTGAACTTTGAATATATCTTTATTGTGGAAGAATATTCCTTTTTGTAAAGTTTACTTTTGATTGAATTGTGGGTCGTATTGAGGTTCCGGAAAGCTCAACGTTGTAAGAGGATCGGTGCTCTTTGTTTGTAAGTCATCGAAAGCTTTGTAGAAGGTTGGATGCACCATAAATCAATCATATTTAGTGAAAAAGACATTCCCCGTGACGGAGAGCTTGGTAAAGGGGGACGTAGATCGTGATTGGATCGAACCTCTATAACACATCGTTTGCATTCTCTATCCCTTTCTCTTATTATTTTTCAAAATTATCTTGTTTGCTCTGTATTTTATTTGCATATTGTTTATATTAGCACTTATTATCGAAAAAGATTTAAATAACCAATTTACCCCCTCTTGGTTATTCATTCTTGGACTTTCAGATCTCACATCGACGAGGCATCAATGAACTCATCTTCCTACCAGTTATTCAAAGTCCAATTAGTGGGCATCTAATAAGTTTTAGTTAATTCTCAAGGGCTTAAATAAACATTTAATATGGTCACGTTCTCAAAATACTTTGCAAAATAATGATTATTCATAAAAAGGTATTCAACTTAGACATATATTGATATTCATAAATACATTTCAAATGTTGTATCTGAAATAAGTTTTCTATAATCATCACATAGATACAAGCATATTCATAAAACTTTTTTTACTTCAAAATCGGCATGGCGCGGCTATGGCGGGCATAGTGCTCAGGATTCTCATTAAAAAATTTTGATCAACTTTATATGTGACATAACACTCCTAAGATATGGTTTCTATTGCAAGTTTACAGAAAAATAAACCAAAGCTCTGATACCAAGTTGTAATGCTCCGAATTCTCGGAACCCGAAACGTTAAAAATAATAATCATTTTCTTCTTTGGTTCAACCCCTTTGATGTTAGCCAAAGTATTTTATAAATCCAAATATATTTTTTTTAGTTTTTAAAATATATAAAAATATAATGGAAAGTAGTTATCCATATAAACTTAGGCAAATGTAGCAAAAATTTGATTTTGGAAAAGATTTGGAGGCAATTCGACAATTACAGATTTAACAACAGCGGAAGAAAAATTTATTTGGCCTAGCAAAATGTCTATTAAAAATTATGAAATTCTTACAGGGATTAAAGCATTCATATATGTACCACATATAAAAATTTGGGTTCCCGACGATAATGTTTGAAGCATAAAAATATTGTTCGAAAATGGTGGACAGAAAACTCGGATTCAACCCAACGTAGTTTACTAAAACAGACATAACTTTTTTTTTTGGATAATATTTTTGAGAAATTCCAAAAGCCACTATTACTCATAGACCTTTCAAATTCCACTGATTTCACTTAAAAAATGGATCGTAGCCCAAGTTATACCATTTTCAAATAGGATGACAGAATCTGAAATTTTAACCCAGCATAAATTAAACTTTATACATATTCAATCCAACACTTCTAAATTCTAGTTAACCTGCATTGTCTATGAAACTAGACAAAATAATCATTAAAAGTATTTCTAAAAAGTGTCATCTAAGTATCCATAAAATATTTATATAAATGGAAATTTTTAACTAGAAGTTGAAAGCATTTCAGATCGCCGAACACTTGCCACTATGCCAACCACTACCATGCCTCGATCTTAGCTTGTAAAATTTTTTGTAGGTATGAGTACTATAAATAATACTCAGTAGGAAGCACTTAAGTATATGATAAAAATATATATTTTCAGAAAAGCAAACTTTAGTTAATTGTATCTCCATCAATTTCAAGCGAATTGGTGATCAGTCGTCCGCTTACTCTTAGATTTTGATAACCCCATTTCATGTGTCATAGTCATATCTTCATAACTTGTTTAAACCACCAAATAGTGATTTCATCATGAGTAACACAATAACAAATTTAATGCAAATTGAAAACGAATAATTCCTACATCACTTACAAAAGTGCTGAAAATCACCTTATCTTAATGCTTGAAGTTTGAATACCCTTTCGTGTCCAAAGAAATAGAATGTAGCGTACTTTTAGCGTCCTCTTCAAAGAATTTTCAGATTTAAAGGTTCTTTAATCTATGAAAAAATGACAAATTCAATTGGAAAGAAAACGTGGTTAAGGGAGTATAAATTTGAGTTTTTCAAAACAAACTTATGAATTTCAAAACAAAAGGGATGGCTTTAATTTAAATTTCGTATAAAATTGTGGCTGTGATATATATATTGGTAGTTAACAAATAGAATAAAAAAATGGAGGTTAATCTAGTAAGTGGGGTAGTTAATAAATTTTGAGGATGGAAAAATCGTAAGAAGAATTCAAGCTAATGGAATCGAATTTGGGGTTATTTGGTACAATATAACAAGTGTATCTAATTTTAAAATTTAAGGACATAATAGAGGTAGCAATTAATAAAAAGTGTGTTGTCACAATAATGTAACAAAATAAAAATTTGTCGTCTAAATGAGATCTCGACACCTTACAAAATTTTTAAAAACATGTATGCGAAACTTTACTATCGTGACCAAAATTTTAATTTGAACTCTTAAGGAAATATCATAACGACGTAATAATATAACCCAATTTATATTCGAGTTCTAAAATTTTATTTTGAAACGAAGCAAAACATAATTTTTTTTGTCGCTACAGACAACCACCTTAGAAGAGATCTCCATGGGATAGTAATAGCTTCCTACAGGCAGAAAATGAGATGTTCTCTAAACTGTTAGAAATTGGGTTCCATTTTGAAATGTTAATCTTATTAATCATCTTTATTCGATGTGAGATTTTATCCCTTAACATGTCCCTAAAAGATAGTGGCTCTGATGTCATTTTAAGACCTGAAGTTCAATATCAATCCAAACCCTTATTAATTGGTCTATGCTTTCATTTTTATTCGATGTGGGATTATATCCCATTATCCCTTAACATGAACTTTTGTATAGTTGGTGTATACGGGAAAAAAAGGGACACTATATAACTGGAGAAGCAGACAATCACAACTAAATTAGGTAACAGAAAGTCTAAGAAGAGGTCAATGTTTAATTCTTGCCTCAATCACATCTTTATCAAAGTGACTTGTGATGGTTAATTAATAATAGAGAAACTCAATCACTTAAAAATTTATTCTTCAATATTGGCTTATGTGCGCTTGTCTAAGGTTAAATATTTTAGCAAGTTTGGGTAGACTTAAAAGTTTACTCATATGTAACTTCACTTATAAATAAAGCCCCCATTTGATAATGCTTTTTCACTAAAAAAAATATTAATTTTTTGACTATTATTTTACTATTTCAACCGTTATATTTGATTTTTTCATTCATAGGTGGCCTCCACTTTTCTTTCTAACAGTGAAAAAATCAATTCTCATAATCACTATCAGACAGACCCAAACTAATAAGGTTTAAAATAAGTAATTTTTACTGGTTACCCTAGACATATATGAGCTCAATAGGAATTAAAATCTAGATTTTAATTTAAGCCAAAGTCAACGATTAATTTTAACCACATATTTCGTACGATCCACAACTTTTGAATGGCATATTTCATCAACTTTTATTAAGATATAGTAAAAATCTGATTTTAATTCCCATCAAACTGAAGCTCAATAAGTTCAGATCGTTGTTAAGCAATATGCACAAGCAGTGCCTTCTGATACGAAGCAGAATCCTTATTGCCTTAAGTTTAGATCGTTTTCATATAAAAATAAACACTGATTCAATTAGTTACTGTCTTGGTATGTCTCACAATTGAGCTTGCAACGGTCTGTAAACTGGAAATGTGTGCGGTGTCCTTCAAAAAATTATACAGTATGAAGAGCCGAACCCTGGGGCTGTTTATTTATGCACAAGATTTGTCGCAGTTCTTGAGCTTGTCATGCATAGTCCTTGAAAGAAAAGATCATCATTCGCAATTTGTGAGAAATGGAGTTTGGCAAGTGGTGTTGGTATGTTTATATTGTGCAAAATGTAGTGGCATTAGGTTCCCTGAATATTCTAAAATTCCAGAATCTTCCTTTTGAAGAAACCAAGTTCTTCTCACACAAGAATTCCGATGAGAACCACTTCTCAATCATTCTATCTACATCATGTACTAAAATGTCCGTAACATTTCCTTTTCGTGCTAGTATACTAGCAGTGTAGATGGCTGCCATTCTCCCCGGAGAATCTGGTGTGTCCCCACGTGGTCCGTCCACCACCACCACATCCCACTTTGTATTGAAAACTTCGTGCGGGAGATTTTTTAATGCTAGTTTACACCTTGATAATTTGGGCAGATGGAGCCTAAGTGAACAATCTGGATTTTCTCTGGCGTGCTTTAGCAGCTTGTATGCTTCAGCAGCAATAGTCTGGTACTCGACTTTGTAGACTTGAGTCTTGTTTGTAGCTTTCACAGTAATTATTTTCTCGGGATTGTCTACAATGAAGACGGTGAATCCACCAGCATTCACGGAGGCAAGGCTCAAGTATTGGGGTTCAAGCCCAAAAACAAGAAGTTTGCAGGGAATTCTCCTAGAAACAAGATCCAAGAGAAATCGGTTTTCCTTTTCAGTAAGAATACTGGGATTTGCATTTTCAGGCGAAATATCATTCCTGCACATTGAAGAAGACGACGAACATTTTTGCTGACGAATAAGAGGTGATCCAGCTGGAGGCAGAGATTGGGATGATGTTATTATCGTGAGTTTGAGAAGTCGGAGTATTGAAGCAATGCATAAAATGAGAACTAGAACCCGGATGAGCTTCATTTTCGTAGATACCATCCTCCTTCCTTGACAATATTTGTTTTGCAGCGTTCGTTTTTGTTCAGATTTTGGCGAGGCTCGGGGCAGAATTGGAACCAGTGGAGTAACAAGAGGATGGCAATGGAATACTTCTGGAGGCATTTTGCTTGTTCTGTACCCTCCCCACCACAGGTACCTGTTATATATTTATGGTATAAATATAAAATATGAAAGAAATAATCAAATTAGATAAAGTGCCAAAGTGGTGGGAAATGTGACATTTGTGTGGGACGTCAGGGGTTCGAATCACTCCTCATGTAAATATTAAAATGTCTTGATTTGGGCCTTGGGGCCTTGGGCTTCCTTGACTAAAATAAATATTTTTTTCTTCATTATTTAATGGGTAAAACTAGCCAGTATTTGATGACTGTTTGTTTTTGTAACAACCCACTAACTGCCATTAAAACACCCACTACTCAGTCATTAAAATTCTGCATTAACATGGTGAAGACTGTTACTACCATCTTGCCTATATAAACCCATATCTTGTTTTGGGAAAAGACACACAAAAAGAAAATAGAATCAATCACTCTTTTCATATTGTGAATTTCTTATATTCGGGTTTTTATACCTATTCTGGAGTACAATTGAGAGTTCTAGAAAAATCATTCGTGATTGCTGCATAAGTGGTTTACGATCGTTGTATCCTGGGAGTGATTGTCCACGGAGGTCACGGCAATTATTGACGGGCAATTTCACTTTAAGGCATCGTGATGTCACGAGACTCGATCGGACGATAAGTTTTATATTTCTGCATTATATTGTTCTGATCACTGCTGCAACTAATTATTTTTCCA